GGGGGGGGGGGGGGGGGGGGAAAGAACCCTCATAAATCGCTGCGGTGGGCAGTCTGAGCCTGGAAGGCGAGCCGGTGGTACGGACTGACGAAAAAGAAGGCGTCCCATTCCCTGTTCAAGTAAAAGACCTCGCTGAATGGCCTGACGATGCGGAACACATCCTCCAAAAGGAATGAAAGCTTGTCCTCTAAGGACACAACGCGGGTCATGTCGAGGCCACAGGCACCCTGTTCCGACATCCCGGACGCTGTAATCGACCTCCTGCTCGCCCACGCCAGTTCCCTGAAGCCGGTTCCCGTGGCCTTCGGGCACCGAACCGTCAGCGTGGAGCGTGCAGACGAACTCTCTCGCCTCCCTTGGATCTGTGGACGGCGTCGACTTGGTAGGGGCTGCTGAGGATGATGATGCCATGCACGGGTCTTCTGTGAGTCGTGTCATCATAGACCATGCCCTCCAAGTCCTCCTAGACTCTTGGAACATCAGCGTCCTCGGCATTGTTGGGGATGTCGAAGATCACGGTGATGTTCTGCCGGTTCTTCACGCAGACCTCGCTGATGATGTGCTGAACGTGGCCTTTGCGGAGGTGCCCTGGGCCGCACGCCTGCCCCAAGTCGAGGCCCGACTGCATGGCGCGCGCCTCGAGAGCGTGGTAGTACACGTTCTTCTCGTTCTTGAACTGTTCCAAGACCACGCTCGTTTTCCCGGCGGCCGAGAACCACGAGGAGGCGGACCTCGCTGCGTGGGGCCCGGCTGCGCTCGACCATCTCGGCAAGCTCCAACGACAGAACCGTGCGGCTGACGTAGTTTTGCGGGAGCTCGACGTGAAGTGGTAGGGCAGCATCATCTTGTCGCCGAGGCTGGTCAGCTAGGCCCGGCGTCACAGACGTTCTCCATGCTGGCGGGCATGAGCGTGACGACGAGAGTGATGAAGGCGACGCAAAAACTCAGAATGGCCAGGCAGAATGCACGGCGGCCACAATTGCGATGCAAACGAGCATCAGCGTCTCAATCATCGACGTCACGCGCCACATCTCCTTGAGCTGGCGGCAGTGGCCGGCACGCGAGCCCATCGCTGCAAGAAAGGGTGGATGCAACAACCTCAACAGTGCCTTTTGACTGACACAGGTCTTCGCCTGAGTAGTGCTGTAGACTGCAGCAAGGAGACACATGTGGCTTCTTCCCAAGCGTGCGAAATCAACTTGGGCCCTTGAGCCAAAATGGCTATGGAATTTCAGGCTGTAGGGTTCGGATGAGTTTGAGATTGCAGTTGAGAGACTTGTGCCCGCAACACAATCCATCCGGCGCGTTTGAAGCCCAACCCTCTTCAAACCACTCAGGAAAACTCAAAACCGTTCTAAAGCCCTCTCAAGCCTCGTAAAGACCCGGGTTCTTACAAGTAACTTAAAACTACGCTGGTGCTCGCAGCGTGGCACACACGGCCTCCGGCAGAGCCGGACTTGCGGAGGCGTAGCCGGCCCACATCCAAGTCCATGTCATCGTAGATCACCTAACTAGGGGGCTCTACAGAGTTTCCGAAAAGCCTGGTGGTGGATCTAGGAGTTCAGGGTTTGGGGTTTCACCAGGGTCCAGCCAAAGGTCGCCCGAAGTCTGCAAGTTAGACTGTCAAAGACGACGAGAGCGACGATCCTCAAGCAATGCGCACAGGCCTCCTGCGCTGAGAGCTTCTGTCCACTGTAGGTCCAGGGTTTAGGGTTAGGGTTTTGGGGTTAGGGTTTATGGGGTTTAGGATTCAGGGTTCAGGGCTTAGGGTTAGGGTTTTTTCCCAGGGTTTAGGGTTTAGGGTTTAAGTAGATTCGCTGACTGCCCTTTTCCTTACGGCACACGCTTAGAGTGCCTCAGGGCCACATTGCTTGGACCGGAAGCCTTTACAGATTTCTGGTATCTGGTCGAGAATATTGCAACACTGCTGGGAATCCACGAGGTCTGACATGCCGATCATCTTAAATATCAAGTACTATACCACCACACATTACCACGACGTTCCATTTATGGTTCACGCGACAAAACAGGATTTGCCAGTACTTGCCGGACATGATTCCCGATGGGCGATATCCTGAACTGCACCCCAGAACCCGAAACAAAAAAGGCTTGGGGGCATCTTCTCATAGAACAAGCCCTAACCATAGGCCCACGACACTAGAGCCCCGAACCCCGAACCTCAGCGCCAAACAGTCAACTTAAAACCCTGTAAGCCCTGAGCCCTATTACCCTAAAGCCTAAGCCAAGGACCCCCAAGCAAAGCCTCAAAGCTCCCGAGCTCGTGAGATTTCCGCTCTTGCGGCGAGGCACGACCAGAGCGGATTCCGGCAACCCAAGGGATGAGACCTCTCTGGCATGGTTACTATTGCTAGTATTATTACTATTATTATTAGTATTATTATTATTAGTATTATTATTATTATCATTATTATTATTATTGTGGGCTTTTGGTTTACGGGGTTTTTTTGTTGTATGCAGGGCTCAGGGCTAGCTGAAGTGCGGGGCCAGGGTTCCTGAGGACCTGTACAGGTTCCTAAACCCTAAGCCCTTTTTTTCCACAGGCTTGAACTGAGCTCGCCCGGCCAAGTCCCTCGCAGCACATCGCACTCGTGGCGAGATGCGCAACGCTATGTACGGGCTAATCTGTCGGATGCGCTGGTTCCTAAACCCTAAGCCCTAAACCCTGAAAAGGCTCTTAGGGCCCTAAATCAAACCCTATGGTGCTCTTAGCTGAAGATGATGTTTCGACACTACCGAGAACAGGCAAGGCTCTGAAGCCCGCACTGTGCTTGGGGCTTGCTCGCGCTTTCTGGGCTGCGGGGGGGGGCGCCTTCTTGGCATCTGGGCGCTGGGAGGGGAACCCCGAGGCCTAGGGAATCTAAGGCTGGAAGCTGCAAGCTAATCGAGCTCAGGGCTGAGGGCCTAGGGCTTGGGACAAGGAACTCATGTTCTAGGAGGCTTTCGTGTTTCTCCTTAAAGCAACTCTCGAGCTTCGGGGCATCTCAGCACAGCAGATCGTTCAGAAGCTCAAAGAGTGGATCCTTTTTGCAACTGCCTTGCAACGTCACGCCCAGCAGAGCTGTCTTGCTCCATGCTGCATGACAGCAGGAACTTGCAGGCTGCTGGGGCAGCAAAGCCTAAACCCTAAACCTAAACCCCTTTAAATCCCTCTACGCCGCGTAAACCCCGAGCCTTTCGGGGAGCCCCCGGCAGCCCCCGCTGGGTTCCCGGACCAGTTCCGACACCGGCCGGCCCGAGCCGTTCATCATGGAAGAAGGCTTGAACCTTCAGGAATGGGTTTAGGGCTTCAGGGAACGAGGGCTTTGCGCAGGAGGCTGGCAACGAGTTGGGAATTCCGAGGGGGTAACCTGGCAGCCAGAGCCCTGAACCCAAGACATCTTATCTTGACTTGCCAGAGGTTTTAGGGTTTCTCCCACCCGCCGCAGGAAAACTCCTTCGAACTCAAAACTATTGGAGGCCCTCGTTACGGAAAAAAATTAGGGTTTTTTTTTGCCTCCCACCTTGCTAGGACGAGCCCGCATTGCAGGGTAAAAAAATTAGGGTTTAGGACTTGGGGTTTGGGACTGAGTTCGTTTGGGGTAGGACCTCGCTGGGGCTTCGATGGTGATGATTAGGGTTTAGGGCCATGATGCGCCCCAAGGCCAACACTCGGGAACCCAAAATCCAAGCCAGCAACCCCAAACCCTAACCCACAACCATCCTTGGGCCGAATGGACAAGTAACTGAAACACAAAGAATCCGGGAGCAGCGGAAACAAAACCAACAACCCTGTATCCTGAAAGCACTACAAGAGCATGGGATTAAAGCCTGCTGGAAAGTACACTCTCCACACGCTACGCTGGTGCTTTACCCTTACCCCAACCCCAAAATCAGAATCTCAAACCACCAGCTAAGTTGCAGGAGGATTTCTTCGTAGGAATCCGTCCTCGGACCGGCACAGGGATGAATGGAAGTTGGCACAAGCTGTTGTTTTCGCATGTGGTGATGCTCTTTCTGTTGCAATTCCGTACAGTCGCGATGTATTAGTATTGCAATGCTAGGTGTATTTCCGGGCATTAGGATGAAGGCTGCATTCAGAAAGTTGAGCGGCCTGGGTGCTGCTTTCGATGCGTTGCTTGGTGTAAGCTCTTCATGGCTGCATGGTTCAGGGTGAGGGTCGCGGGCTGGAGGTTCCTTAAGGACGTGGGTTGTCGAGCCTCGGGTGTTGACAGGATGCAGCAGGAACATGGGGACCGAAAGTGCAGCTGCAGGAGTCTTTTAAGTTTGCTCTTTGCGCTGCGGACGTCCCGAGATGGAGCCCAAGGACCCTGCAACAAAATGCTGATGTAAACACTATGTAAACCAAACCCCCAACCTCTTCGAATGTACCCTCCACCCTTCCCCCGTGATCTCGAACAACTCCCCCGAACGACGACGGCCTAGACCCAATGAACCCTAAAGCTTAAGTCCTGCAAGGCTTGACTCGCGAAGGCTGAAAGGCCGAGTGCTGGTCGGCTAATCTCGTTCCCAGCTGCTCCTTCGAAGCTGTCCGCTTCAGGCGCAGCACAGTTCCACCAAACGCTTCCTCGCAAAGCAAGAGTAGCAGTGAGATGCAGTGGTCCCCCGGGCTTTTCGGGAGCTGAATCTCACCCTGTCTTTGCCGTCAAGTTGCCAAGCTACAGAGAAGTCCGAACCAAAAAGCCTAACGCTCATGTGGCTTTGAAACTTTGAGAATGGAAGAGACGTCTCATGAAGGGGAAAGTTAAAGCGCGGGAGCAAAACATCATCACACACGCCTGCCAAATGCTGCCGCTGAGGGCCCATCGGTCAGTGCCTCGGGGCTTATGGGGCTCCGAGCGGTCCCAGCGTGAGACATCGACATCTACACCCCACGAACTGAACATGAACCCAAACTAAAGCTCGCCGTCCTACACCCCAAACTCCAACTCCCAGAATCCTAGAAAGCAACGGTGGGCACTACATCGAGGCAAGCGGCTGAGAAGCTTCGATGCAACTTCGTCTACGGCCGCAAAGCCGATATTATGCCGAGTCCCATCGAACTGAGCTCCAACGTTGCCGAGACCAACGATGGCCAAGGTCTGGCTGGACTCAACCTGGAAAAGCATTTGGGGTTTGGTTGCCACCTTCTTGGCTGAGGGTTTAGGGGGCCAAGGGTCTGTCGCCGGGGGTTACGGCTTGGAGTTCGGCGAAGCTTAGGGGCGGTTTCGGTTTATGGCGGCGTGGAAGTGTTAATGGTTTTTGGGCCTCCAGGTCCGCATCATGTAACTATGCCACGAGGATAGGCAAGGGCACGGGAACTCCTCAATTGAAGGGCATTCTGACGTGTACGGAACCACCAAAACCGAGGACGAATCACAGTGAGCTTCTGTGAGATGTATAAAATGAGCTTAGCGCCGACTTCCACACCTGGTCAAACTTGAACATGCCCGCACAGAAACACGATGCAGGGCCGAATCCTTTCGCGTGCTTGTGCCCTGAAAAAGCCTTCTCGAGGAGTTCTTCGACTCGATTCTAGGAAGAGCCTCACATGCATGTGTGAGTTTATATAGTTTATGAGACCCTGCAGTTTCCGAGCTATCGCGGTCGCCAGGACACTCCTGAATGCCCGCCTCCTCCCCGTCCATCGAGTCTGCCAGGGCTCGCAGCACGGCCAGCACCCGCCGCCGGCTAAAAGCTGGCCCCAGGAAAGCGCCTGCGAACCCAGTGGCTGCCCCGACCTCGACGAATTTCTCGGTTTGGAGTTTTATGGGTTTGAAGTTTCAGGGGTATAAGATATGCGAATGAGTAGGCTCCTTGAAGGAAGCATTTCTAAGTGTGGATGGATTTCGGCTACAATTTACCGAGCGTTTCCAGGGCTTCTTGCGGGACTTTCCTTTGGCGTCGGAATGTCTTTCTCTGTGACTTTCCCTTGCATCGACGTCACGTTTGCAGCTGAAGCAGATCCCCCTGAAACCCAAAACCTTGAAGGCCTTGAGCCCACAAGCCCCGGTCGTCCCAGAAGGTTTCTGTAGGCACAAGCTTTCACTTCCACTCTTCAGAAAGCTGCGAGAAGGATTTCAATCTGCGCTGGGCTCTGCCAGCAGTCCACACGACTCTGGAGTTCAAGACTTGCGTCACTCTTGCGATGCCTGTGTTAGTCGAGGCTATGCTTGTACCGCACCCTGTGACGATGGGAAACTGCTGTGTCCAGAGAGCAGACATCAACAAGAAGCCAGGAGTGGCAACGAAGTGCAAAATGGTGCCTTCGAGTTGCTGCACAAACCCCGCCTTTCCATCAACAATAAACATGAAGTGAACATCTGTTGCATGCCTCGACTGAAGCATTCACCATTACCCCTGTCAGGCTGGCTTAACGAACACCAACTAGTCTGCGAGCCCTACACCCCTAACCCCAGATGTTCTCCAACTTCCTGCAAGGGGCCCCCAGGCCCTGCGCTGCGCCGAAGCTCACACTCCGCCTCCTTTGAGGCTCGCTTTCGCGGCCAAGGACAGTGCTTTGCAGAGGCCGGCGCACCAAAGGCCTGAGCTAATGTAGGAGCGTCTGAGGTTTAGGGTTTAGTTTAGGGTTTAAGGATTCAGGCTTAGGGTGCTTCGGCCATTTGCGAGGATCCTCCATCAACGTATCCGTGAGTAAAATGGGATGCGGGACATATTGCATCACCAGCTAGTCAAGAAGACCAGAATTGTGTGGACAAACCTGAAGGCTCGCACACATTTCAACATAGTCAAACCCTAAACCCTAAAATTTTAAAAGGGTTACCCCCCCCGTCCCCGAGTTCGAGACCAACAAGCGGGATCTACCCGGGGCGCCGGTTCAGAACCAAGGACTACTGGGTGTCCTCTCCACCGGTCCGTACCCGGAACAAGGTGAGGCTTTATTCTAACAGAAACAAAATTAGAAGTAACAACAAAGACCAATACTTCTACCTATAGAAGACATATGTAGAAAGGTGTATATACTGTGTATATAATATATATATATACACAAATATGTATATATGTATATAAGTGAGGTTTAGCCAAGGGGTTAGGCACTATAGGGCTTCCTATCCAGGGCTCTATACCGGAGCGCCTCCAGTTCTCTGAAACGCTCAGATCTCAGAGAGGCCAAGGGGCCGAAGTTGCAGCGCTACATTGGGCGAAGCAGCGGCCGCAAGGAACGCGGCCATGGCTCCGAAGATCCCACAGATCAGTGCGCAAGTCTTAGGGGCAGAAACAGAAGTTAGCATCAATTCGGATCTGCTAGCACTAAGGGCAGCCATAGTAGACAGTAATTGCACAGTACTTGTGATAGTAACAGTAATACTAAAAATATCCAGACATGGTAGCAGTATCAGGAATGACAATAGCTGATGGGGTCTCTTTCGGCACCAATTGAAAAGTAGCCATCTGGGACCTCCAGGCATTCCAGTGGAAAGAAGCTTGCCTGCATTCTGGACCTGTTGAGCTAGAGTAAACACAAAAAGGACTGGGCTCGGCAGTATCTTAATGTAGACATCTTCAAGAAACAAGCATACCATCTCTGTTAACGGCTGCTGTGGCTGAGTCTGTACAACGGGGAGCAGCAACAACCGTGCCTGTTGGCATGGTAGAGACTTTGCTGTTGAAGCAGCAGCCAGGAAATCGGATCCAAACAACACTCAGGTGCACTAAGCTTGGCATCTCAATCTTGCTACGGGTTGCGCAGATTTGTTTGTACATGTGGAGAGAAGGCCTAAAGCCTTCTTCGAACTCTACCTACCTCGAGTCTGATGGAGTCGTAAAGGTACCATAGGCTGTTGGTGTTTGGAGCAAAAGGGTTTTTGAAAGGTTTAGAGAGGGAGGTTTAACACCCTTACTGTACCTTGCACTCTACTTCTTAATGCCCCGGGTGCTGCCTCAAAAGACAGGACCTTTCGGATTCATCTTTGAAGGCTTGAAAGCAATGATGGTCCATGTGGACTTCCCGTGCCTGCATCGGACGTGAAGCCCTGGCTTAAGATCTTCTCATTACAATGCCGCGACAAGCAACTAGTGGGCGCAACGATTGGACAAGGGTGTGGCGCGCATATTATGATGCAGTGATGTAGGGACGATAAGGTGGATGTTGATACCTCTTGCTCAAAAATCCATTTGTTAAGGGCCCTATACAGCACACAAGCATAGTCTTGGGGGCGAAGAGTTTCACAACCCTGAAGGACCCTGGAGTCTGTGGTTCCTGCGTTTGTCAACTCATACAACTGCAGCTTTGTCATAAGTAAAACGAATGATGGTGATGACAGCGACATTCAATTCGTCGGCGCTGGGTTGCCGGACGCGCATGTACCGACGCATGGAGGCATTGCCTCACATGGTGGGCCATACTTCGTTTCCTTTAACTAGGGGGACATGATTACCTAAACACGAGCCAGAGGCTTCTGTCTCAGGATGCCCACGAGGGGACCTGAACTTGGTCACTGCACGGCTCGCACTGCTCTGGCCTGTGCAGTTAAAGGCAGTGCGGCTTGCAGGCACACGAGGGTTTCGGGCTCTAGGGTTTCAGGCTATCCTCAACCCCAAAACCCTACCTGTGTTCCAGTTCTCCCACCCTAAACCCTAAACCCTAAGCTCTGGTGCACCTGCAACGGTTTGGGCTCGGGACAACACTCTGGCACTCTGGGGCTTCCTGCTAGCTTAGAGCCAGGCCTGGGGATGTGAATTTTTGTCGTGCCGAACGGTGAACTTCACATGGCTTCGAGGGATTTCATGATTTCATGCTTGGGGGTTCATGTGCCGTTGACCCTACTTACCTGAGGAGCTGTGAGGGGGTATGGGAGAAAGGAACATTGAGAGCGCTTCCCTGCAAGCTTGAGATCAGGCCCCTTGTTGAGGCTCTGCTCTCAGCTGTCTCAGCTAGCGTCTTCCAGGAAGAGCTGAGGGGAGGCGTCCGTCACCTGCATGCTGCTTTAAACTCCGAGGTTTGGGATCCGGCTCATTCTAGGGTCTAAGGATGTAAGGCAACAACTTAATTGAAATGGCAAGGTGCAGAACTCAGGACTCCGACAGCTGTCAGAGTCACCCCTCACCCAATCGGGCAAGCTGGTTAACACAAAGAGTGCCTTGGGTTTGCAAATGACACTTGTGATTTGGCACACTGCCGAAGCTCTAGACCCAACGTCCCAGCCGCTCAGCACCACGCGGTGCTGAAGGATCAGGGATTCGAGATCCGCAGAGCCCCCGAGCCCAACACTATGGCCTTTTTTGCATCCGGGACCGTAAACCCTAAACCCTAACTCAACCTACAAGATCCGAAAAGCTCAGGCTCAAGGCAGGCTCCCTGCTAAGGTAAGCTCCCAATCCCCCGAGGCATTCCCTGGACTTGCCCTGGACCCTAAACCCTAAACCCAGGGGGCCCAAGGCACTCTCTGGACTTGCTCATCTTTGATGAGGTCTTGGACCGGTTTCTGGTGCACCGTGGAGGCCATGATGAGTGAGGAGCGCTCCTTGGAGGTCTTACCCTCTAAAAGGGTGTAGGGTTCATATGCCATATAGGGATTCATAGTATGAGGGTATAGGGCCTGTAGCTCATGAAAGCCAGGGGCAGCTATAGGATTACGCGAAGGGTATTCTGAGGTTGCTGTAGTGCTGGGAAAAAGTGAAAGTAAGGCGATTCTCGCATTATTCTTGGGATATTGGAACGTGAAGGTGTGGGGTTCACGGTGTTTGGCTTTGGGCTTAGGTTTACGACTCTCGCACAAGGGTTAGGGTTTCAGGCTAACAGCACTAAGACCGGCGAGACCGTTTGTAATCGTGACAACACAGCATGCAGTGCGAGGGTAGAACTAAGAAATCATGCCAGTGAACAGGAAGGCTTGACATGATCCCCAGAGCCTAACCAAACCTGAAATGCTACAACTGCTTCTGGTTCTGTGCCATGTGTCAACTTTCGCGATGGGGTTGACGTTGTTCTGGATGACGGTCTCCGTGACGGTCTTGTCGAAGCAATGCGTCGCTGCGATTACCACCTGAATGCTTGGCTGCTTTGGATCGCGCTTGGCATGTGACTTTGCAGCGTGGATGTTTGGACGAGCTCAACCCACAAATCCCTCCCAGGCAAGAGAAAGCAAGTAGAGCATCCGGCTCTCCTAACACCCTGTTTTGAAGCAGATGCTGCAATGCACGAAGCCCTGAATCCCACCCTAAACCCCCAAACCCCACACCTACACCTTACACCCGAGCCTGCCCTCTGAATCCTCCACCCTACGTACTGCCCACTCTTTCGAGTCCCAGAGGCGTGCAGGCTCGCGTGGGTCAGGGGCAAAGCCCCAGACTTCGTCAGGGCATCCAGGAGATCGAAGGCGGCCTTCAGAGTTCTAATAGCAGGGGGGAAGGGGGGGTAGGTTTTTGTCGGGGGGCTTAGAATGCATGTACAGTTTTAAGAAAAGTGATATATGGATTATGAGAGCCTAGTCAAGCGCCCAGCTGAGAAATGTATGAAAAGAGGGTGCTTAGCAAAGCTTCTGCGAGTCGTCGCTGGCTAGAACAGAAATTACATGTTCGGCTGATCCAGGCGCTAAGGACGTCATCCTTTCGCAGACATAACATCCGCGCTTTCTGCACAAATTTCCGATGCATCAATCTTTGATGTGTCAGTCCAAGTTTGGTCCCCTCGCGGCCTCTCTTTCCGTCTTCTGCTCTGCCTTGGACAACTGGGACGTAGAAGGGCTGGCCAACAACGCCTTCTGAGACTGCTTTGTCCACCTGCAAGTCCCAACCAACTTCAGAGATACATCCTAGATGTGCATCCACAATGACTGCGCGCGGGCTGCAGAGCGCCCAAGCCTGACGATCCCAGAGTCTTGAAGGACAGCTCAACAAGAGATACTGGAGAACATCCACCTGAACCCTGCAATGCCTCTCACCGGGATTGATGATGGTCGGCCGGAGGGAATTGTCGGTGTCAAGCTTCTCAAAGCGCTGGTCCATTTCCACTGGCACCTCTGACAAAGGGCTTGTGCTTCAGGGCTTCAAGGTTTTCTTAATGGCCCAAGGACTGTGCGACTTGACGAGCATTCTTCCAAGCAGTTTGCGGAATTTCACGGTGCAAGGTCACTTTAAAGCCGGCAGGGCTTTACAGGGCATGAATGGCCTTCACAGACTCCTATTGTCACATCACGAATCGCGGCACCTGTGTGTAGTCCCGGGTGCCGGAGCTGGCCCCTACCGAACCGGTTTCGTCGACAAACTTCTGAGTGGGCTGTGGCACCGACTGCTGCTGCTGCTGCTGCTGCTGCGGCTCCTGCTGCTGCGGTGGCAGTGGTGCGGGGGGAGGAGCAGATCCAACGACAACTGGTGCAGCGCACGGTGGCGCTGGCACCGGTGCCATCGCGGATTCCGCCGCGCACAGGACGGGGGAGGCTTGAAGCTGGATTGCCTCGGCCGACAGGCTACTGCCGAAATGAAACAGTTGTTCCCATACAATCATGGTATGGGAACCAAACAGCAGGAAGACACGGTGCGAAAAGGAAACTCAAATCTAAACTGCACCCATCTAGCTAAGAGGCGAAGCAGTCGTTTCCATTTGCACATATGCTTATATGCAGATTCAATCGCATGCCGACAGGCCGACAAACAGAACAACACTCGCACGCACGACTGAAAAAGGTCCCGGGAAGTTCCGGGCCTTTGAGAAGAAAAAATCGGGCTGAAGTTCCACACTCCGGTCTCCAGTCTCCAGCTCAAGGAAACAACGGTAACTCGGGATACTGACGGTTTACGGTGTACTATACCATCGTTCATCAAGCGGCTTCAATAAGAGCATTGTGCTCCCTCGACAACCTCAACACAACCATCTGCTTTCCTCAAGGCAAAAGTCTCACTTGAGGTTAGGTCTGGCCATAGTAACACTCCCGACAGACAACCCTAGGCACCATGCAAACTTCCACTCTGAATCTAAACCGAAACCTTAAAAATCTAAACCGAAACCTCAAAAGCCCCCAGCACTATATATGCCAAGCCGAACACCGACACACAAAGCACTGCACCAAAAAAACGAAACCGCAAACCTTTAAGCCTCACACTTCTTTTCGCATCCGCCCAAAATCAAAAGATACATTGCACAGTAGAAGTCCAGATTCTTGGTACTGTTCCCCTATAGCCCCTCTTTGTCATTATGGAATGGTATATCCCCAAATCTGTTCTAGTTATTGAGACCCCCATGTTCTACGACTTGCTGGCCGGCTGCGTGCTTCATTCCACCTTGTGGCCGGGCTCTGTGTTTGAGAGCAGCACCCTTGCCTGGCGCGTAGGTTTAGGCTTTAGGTCCAAGAGAAGGTTTAGGAATATAGAACTGCTTAGGATTACACAAGTTCAGAGTTTAAGTCTGATTTTTGTCGGCTGCGGGCTTTCAGGGTACACGCTTGCGGGCTGCACCCTGTTGGACTGTTGGGCTTGAGACTAGTTTTGTCAGGGGTTCGGAAATTTGCGGGTTGGGAGCAAGGCGTGGCTGCTGGAGGTTCATGGGATGCAGGGATGCTTGGTGTTTAGTCCCACTTGATCGCCTTGATGTGTCACCAACAGTTCGTGCAGCAGCTTCACGTTTCGAAAAACGCTTGTCGTGTTAAGTTTGGATGCTTCTGGCTTAGGGTTTGGAGGCTCGTTTTCGGACAGCCTGAAGGTTTTGGGTGAAAGGTCTTCACTTCTAGGCAGTCAAAGATGATGGTGCAGTGGTGCCCAACTGCTCTTCACTACCCCTTTCTCTGTCGCACCTCTCGGCTGGTTCGCAAAGGGATCGTCGTAGAGAACTTCTTGCTCTCGATCCTGGATCTCCTCTTGCTTAGCCTGAGCCTCGGTATTGATGTTGAGTCCGTTCCTTACTAGGCTGTAGGGTTTGGGGTCTAAGCTGGGGGTCTGTGCTCCGGGATTAAGGCTTAGGATGCTTGTTTAGGGCCCAGGGCTCAAGACTTAGTCAAGATCCCGCCCGGGTTCTGATCTTAAGATGTGTAAAGCTACGCCTGCCAATGACGGATACTTCGAAAATGGAAACACGAAGCCCTTGCCTAGCAAAGCGTTGAGCTCCGCGGAAAGTCCATGTTCGCAGGTCCCGTTGGCTTCATTAAGGAAGCCTGAAAGACAACCCAAACCTAGCCTTCTCTGACCTGCCTACACACACCAAATAGAGTAAGCACATATCCCAAGAATCCCGACTCATTGACAGCTCGCTTCACAAACCCATAAACTCTCCACGACACTAAACAACAATATGCTGAACCCGGAATGCAATGATCTCCCGAGCAGGCTCCTGGGCCGCGCCCATTTTACCGTTAAATGATGTTAGGTTGGATTGAGGGGCCGGGTCATGCGTCTTGGATTCTGGATGTAGGATTTCGGGCAAGATTGATGCAGCTAGTAACTTCTTCATCAAAGTGTAAACTTTTGGCTGCGGTGTTGGAAAATCCTGGCCGTCTATCCTCAGCGATCCTGCATGACGATAATGTGCCAAACTGCCAGCATCTCGTGCATCGCTTGCACATGTCCTGCACAGCATGCTGACAAGCCACAAGCGAACAGCACAACTCCTCCAAAGGCTACTGGTGATATGGCGCGCTCTATTTCTTTAGGGCACATCCTTCGACCCAAAAGCCCGGGACCTCTCCAAGCTGGATTTGCCAAATTTGCTGGCAGCGAGGAAAAAGAAACCTCGAGAAAATGAACACCAAAGGCCTGAACCTGCGCCCTAAACCCTAAACCCTAACCATACCCTTAACTGACTTAACCCTGAAGTCTTCAAGCTCAAACCCCGGAGTCTTTTGAGTCCTAAGCCTGTATAGCTAAGACTTTAAAGCCCAACGGGAGGACTTTACTCCATACCCCCAATCCTTTTGTTTGAGCCTCTCCCGAGACCCCAAGCCTAAACCTCCGAACCCGGTTTCTCAACAAACCGCGAACAGCGACTCCTTTACAATTCCAAAAAAAACCTGCAAAACAAGACTTGAACACACCCACGAAATCCCGAGGAAAAAAAAAAAAGACCTTGTCCAAACGAGGGCCTTTCACGCGCTCCAAGCGCTCGGCCGCCGTGGGATTCAAGAGCTCCGCCTCGCCGGAGGTGGCGTCAAAGGAGAGCCTCGGAAAGAAGGCCGAAAGAAGAGTCTTCGGAGTTTACGGTATAAGGCTTTAGAGGTTTAGGGTTTAGGGCTTTAGGGCTTTAGGGGTTTACGGTGTAAGCTTTTATGTAGGGGTTTTGGCCTCCTACTTTGCAAGGAAACGCCCGCATGGCAGGGTTGGATATTCGGCACAAGCCCTCACACTGTCGGAGAGGATACAGATCTTGGGTTTTTCCCTCCTACAGATCTTGGGTTTAGAGGCTTATGGTTTAGGTTCTTTGAAGGCGGAGGTTGCTTTTTCTGCTTGCTTTCTGGCGGTTTCGGGGAAAGTGACGGAAGGCTTTAAACAATGCTTCCTCCGGGATTTCAACAGTTGCTTTAGTTTGGAAGGCCTTTCAGGGTTGTTGGGTTGTTTTGTCACGAAAACTAAGAGACAAGCTGCAGGGTCGAGGGCGTTGGAGGTGATGATGGAGCTTAGGTTATAAAATGCACGGGCTGTCGTCGTGTTCTACTTTCACAAGAAAGCCTCAGAGACACGGAGCAATTTAGAGGGTTTTCGGGTTGTGTTCATGTGCTGTGTAGGGCTGTGTTGGGTCTTGGGGTTTAGAATCTGTGGCATCTGAGCACTTAGGGTTGTAGCATCGAGGTTTGAGGACTCAGGGCTCTACTCTAAGGATCTAGGATTTGGGCTTGAGAGCTTAGTGCTTCAGGGTTAGTGCACTTTGGGGTTCGAGGTTTTAGGATCTGAGTCACTGAAGTAAGGTTTCAGGATGTAGGACCCGAGTGTCCGCCTTGTCATTCTTCATGATTCGAGGATTTAGACTGAGGCTCGGGGTTGCAAGGCAAATCTCAAAACCTTCAACATTACACCGACCTTCGATAACCCGAATTCCTAAGAAGCCCGGCACCACCTCTTGACGTAGTTTGCGTGTTGTCAACTTCATGGCTCAACCTTTAGAGCCTGATAACAGGTCCTTTTCTCAGAAGATGTGTCGCCGCCCGGGTGTAAGGACTACTGTAAGCATGGGAAGGCTAGAATAGGCTTGGGAGCGAAGGTTGGGTTCTTATGTACAAACCCCGCTCCAAAAAAGTAAGAGTAAACACGAACTCTGAAATCCATTCCTGCTTCCCAAAATCCCGGAGATTTTAGAATCAGATACATGCAGAGGCAGGGACCGAGCCGACAGAAACTGTACTGTGACCGCTGCGGCAGCACTGTACTAACGTACTACGGCTACCGCACTACTGCTACCGACCCCCTTCTCAATAGAGGGCCGAGGCGGCCGGTGCTTGAAGGGTTACTAAGAAGAGCTCAACTTTATGCTCACGGGCTTCCAGCTCAAGAAACGATACTATTCTATGCGGCTGCTCCGCTGAACATTTTCTCCTGTAACCTCCTGACCTTCTTCGAGCGCAAACAACGACCTGCCCCAACGCCAAGCAGCAAGTCACTGGGGATCTGATACCTGGCACGTCTCGAGTCTAGACTTTAGGATTAGGCATTCGTGTTTCGGTCTTGTTGCCATTGTGTGGAGCCGTTGCAAGTGTCCCTTGTCTACCTGCCCTTCTTGAAGCACTTCTTTCTGCCGACGTCTATTGCCGTTCTCTCAACGAAGATGTCAAACAATCAGGCGGGTGTAGTCTTTCCTGCAAAAATGTTCTAGAACTGCCTCAGCTTACAATTGCCTCAGACCTCTGTTCAGTGCACACCCGAACCCAGCTCTTTAATGCCGCGCATACTCATGGGGGGCGGGGTGGCAAAGCACAAAAAAAAGGACCTCAGGGCTCCCAAAGCAGGAATCTCGGAGTTCCTGACGGGATGGACGGCTTGTGAATTGCAGTGGTGTTAGCCGCCGATTCCTTGAGATCTTCTCACCCGTGCACTGATACGTGGACGCCTCTATTATGGAATATCGCACATCTGCCACTGCTGTCCCTAGTATGCCGTTACCTGGTAGCTTCGGCTTCCTGGGATTAGATTTCCGTCGAGCTGCTTGATGAAAAGCTGCATCAAATCTTGTGTGAGCTTGATCTCCTTCGTCAGGCTGTCGTCCGCCAGGTTCAGCACGCGCTCCAGCTGCGGCTTAATCTGCACCACCAGCACACCAAACAAGGTCGACTCCAGCTGCATCGCGCGGAAGGCTTTCGCGAAGGCTTGCTGCTCTGGTGAGAGAGACCTGAACGTCTCCCTTAATAAACAAGTCTGGGACCCAAACAATTCTACTGTGAGCCCCTGAGTCACTGAGACATAAACACGTAGAAAACCCTAAACCAGAAACCCGAAACCCTAAACGTCGCAGCCTGTGACACAAGCGCCAAGAGGAACTATCAAACAAGGCGAGCCAATCTATAACGTGGTGAGATAAATATTTCGAAGCCCCAATTCCAATTGCATCGAAATCTGACACCCTGAACCAAAACTTCATTTGCTTTCTGAGGGTCTCAATGGCATCTTTGAACTCCTTTGGGGATGGAATCGTCGACAGATTCAAGGGTATCGTCAGCTCATCCTTGTTCTGGATGATGGCCGCATACTTCGGGTCGAAGCTGGTTGCAGACGAAACTCGTCCGATCCTGAGATGTGGCGGGAAGCCACTTGGGACTTTCCGAAAATTAGGGTACCTTATTTTGGGGTCCTTATAATAAGGATCCTACTATTTAGGGTACTATACTAGGGTCCCCTATTTTCGGAAACCCCCACTTGATGATTCGGAGTACTTCGCTTCGGGGTGTGAGGTCTCGGGGCTCCGCATCGGCGCTCTTCGGCCTATGTTTCGAGAGAGCCCAAACCTGGACCGCAAGCAACTTCAAGTCAAAGCCAACCCCCGGGCCAGCTGTGTACCTTGATGCTCTCCCGTTCGGGATATCCAAGTGGCAGAACCAGCATTGAGCTGAACTGCCTGGCCTTGGCGAACTTCCAGTGCTGTTGCAGCTGAGTTCATCAAGTTTTCGCGTGTTTGGCATGAGAGAAACCCAAATCCCAGAAGAGAGTGCCCTGATCTTATGAGTGCCTCTGATATTAAGACTTGTTACAAACACCCCTGACCAAATTTTGCACATTCGACAGGCCCAAATTACCCGAAGCTTCCTACCGCGGTCCTTCCGGTTCCCAAAAAGCTCAAAACAGCTCGATTAAGGAATACGCCTCAAAATCTAGGAGCTCAGTGTTGTTGTTAGACCTGTTCTGGTGATTCTGCTTCTTGAGATTATGCTGGTGATGGTGATGAATACCATTCTGATACGTTTGATCTTTTGTACATTCCCTAAGGCCTAAAATCCCCCAGCCCTACACCCTGAACCGTGGCTATTCCGCAGTTAATGGGTATTGGGTTGTCTGGGCTTGCGAGCCAAGACTACCGGGCGATACAGTCAGGTTCGGTTGGGAATCCATGTTTGAGGGTGTTTTTGTTTCCCTCTCGCATGGCTGAGGATCCATGCCCACAAGCGAGGTTCAAAGAAGACATCGAGTATGGTGACTGTGCCAGATGAGGCTGATCGGACCACGACTTTGCCTAGCCCTAGTTCAGACAAACCAGAGTCATGGGCTGCGATCAACCACATCATCAAGGCAGCGTCATCCCCAGGCTCTCCTAAGATGCAAGCAATAAACCCCATTAAAGCAGAGCCTACGAGTATGACACGAGCAAGGCAGTGCGCTACAAAGAGCGACAAGAAAGGGCTGTACCAGTACAATATGACTTTAGGCCTTAGGGTTCAGTACACAAGGTGCGTAAGGTTTGGGGGGAAACAGGTGCAGGGTTTAGGGCCCTGCATCCTATTCAGATCACTGTGTTTCTGGAATTTCGTGGAGTTTAGGGCTTCGGGGCGTGCGCCTTGCATTTTGAGATTTACAGGCCACTGTCAGTAATGTAGGGCCATAAGAATAAGAGCAAGGTTCCGGGGCTCATTATGGTAACAGTATATACCCTGAGCCCTTAAACCCTAAGCCCTAAACTATCTCTTGATTCTGACCTCTCTTTCGCACCAAGCGACGCGTGCCACCAACGACAGCTCGCAGCCCGACTGTCCCGAGAACCTCGCGGTAGCTAAGGCTGGATGGGTTAGAGTCAGAGGGTTTAGGGTTTAGGGTTCAGAGTCAGAGCTGAGGACGTTCCGCCAAGGCAGTGACAGGTTGCAAGAGCAGCCAAGGTTTAGACTAACTTTGGACATCTAGTTGGGCCTTATACTGCGGCTTGGGGTGTGTGCGCACACCATCAGGTCATCGAACCGAAATGGAGTAGAAACCTTGAGAGCCAAAGCAATCCGTTTACGACTTAGTGGGCATTGGGCTCTCTGGGCCCTCGAAGCCCCAGATGCCCTAGATCCTGAACCGGAAAACTCAACACCCTCAAAGCCCACAACCCCAAACCCTAAACAAAAATTTGCCCTAAAGCCCAACCCGGCCCTACCTGTAGAGCCCTAACCCCTCAATCCCTTATAAAGCTTGAACCATAAAACTCTACAGTGTTACACCCCTTCGTAACCCGAAACCCTTTCTGTTGCATCCGGGTCTCCTTCCTGCCGGGAACAGAGACATAGACCATAACCCGAAACCCTAAAACTCACAAAGTAAAGCCCAAGGCCCCCAAGAGCCAGGGAACTGGTGCGAGAGCCAGGCGTGGAGGTGCCTCTCCCCAGCGAAAGTCACGTTCGTCGACGCGTTGAGCCTCATGTGAGGGCGGAGGGTTAAGCTTTCGGGCCAAAAGCTCGAAGACTAAAACACTCATGATAGTTGCAACTTGCAGTATTGGCCCATCCCTCTATCAGATGACCTTTTGACCTCTCTACACTTGTTGGTTCGGCAGCGTTCCATCCTGTGCATTCGTTGATCATCTGCCACCGCTCCTACCCAAACGAAAACAAAGATTCTCCAAGCAACTAAAACATTTCAACTGCCAAGGGTCGGAAAGGTCATGGGAGCCGACTCGGCAGTGCTAGCCACCATGGTGACGATGGGACTGTTGATGTTGGAGTCGCCACCCGGCCCCACTACCGCTTCTTCCTTGGCTCCAGCTGGGGCTTGCAGCCGGCCCGCGCATACAGGAGGAGTGGGTTTCGGCTTCGGCGCTCACACTCGGACAAGGTTGAGGATTTAGGATTGATACTATAAGAGATTTTCTTCGGTAGCAATGACCAGCTACAGTGCCAGGTGTCCCAAATTACTGCTCCTCTTAACAATCGAGAACCGTTTTGGTCGTTGGGCTGCTTAACATACGAGGTTCCCCCGATGCACGTTAAAGATACCGCCAAAACCTCCTACGTTACCAATGGACCACAGCTATAGTGAGCTGGCAGCGGCGACTTGCGCAAAATCCTCATTTTGCTTCGGTGGCTCGATGCTCACGGTTCCCTCCGGGCTGTGCGTGTCAGAACGACGAACAGAGAAGCAGAGAGGCTTCGGCAGGCATGCCTGTGCATTGCAGTCATAAGCGTTTTGGCGTTTCGTGAAGTGTTTAGGGTCTGTCAGAGGGGTCTATAATTCAGTCTAGAAGGGCTTTGGAGTTTTGAGGGCGCAATTGCTGAAATAATTCTGCTGTTGCTTGCAGTGGGCAGTAAGGATATACGTAATGCAAAACAACTCGGCGTAAAGCTCTATATGGCTTCAAACCAGGCTTTGATTAACCCGTACTGCCGAAGGCACCCGACAGGAAAGTCAAGCCACGATTTACATCAAATCAGCTTTAACTGCAAGCCTGGAGCTCTGTTCCCCACTAAACTCCGCGACTCCAAAACTTTGAGGTATTTGCCGTTAAAGCTCAGCTTATCAGTCGGTTTCCGGTTTTGGGGATGTTGCGCAGACCGTTAAAGGTTTAGGGGTTACGGGTCGAATGGCTTTAAGGTTTCAGGAAGGCCGTGAAAGGCTTACGAGTTTTATGATACTTTTGTAGTGAAGGCTATTTGTGTGCTTTGGGGGGTTCTTTTGCCTCTCGCACTGCAGATATCTATGCTGACGGCGAGGTCAGACATAAGCCACAGAAGTTCAGCATGACCACAGGTTGTGGTAGTCATACTAATTATAGCAAAAGCCCATTCGGTTCTCACTCCGGGTATAAGGTTGCGTATTGACCTTTGGGTTCAGCGTTGGGCTTTCAGGGTTTCGGCTTCGGGGAGGTGGGGTCTAAAGGTTTAGGGTTTCTTGCGCAAATTGCGGCTGTCCTCCTTTGCTCAGCAAGCCAGCGATGCCCTAGAGCTACCTGGCGTAACAACCCTGTTCGAGACCCCATCAAAATCAAAAGTGCATCCTGTTTACTGTCGTGTAACAGTAGCCATGCGGAAGTGTTTGTCAATCTGTTGGAGAGCATTTCGTTCTTCCCATACAGGTTTTGGCAATGCTACGCCAAGCACACTCGTTGAGACCAGCTCCGAGCTGCCACCGCCACTCGCCCTAGACTAGCATGAAGCACAGAAACACAGCCGATAGAAGAACAACTGTGCCGCTAAAACCTAAGCTCTAAACCCTTGGGGTTCACGTTGAAAACGCACGAAAAGCGGGCCCTACCTCGTGGAAGAGTTTGCGATAATGAAACCTGCCGGGGTGGTGAGATGTTCAGTATCTGCCGTTGAGGGTTTAACTCTCTCAACTCGGACAGTTGAGGGTTTAGGGTTTAGAGTTTCGGGTGTAGCCACAAGCCAGTTATCCCTGTGGT